CAATTCAATGGATTTTCATATTATTCCCGTGCTTTTGGTGACCCTACTGCTTTCCACATAAGCTCGAGGTTAAGCACAATTTGGCTAACGCATGAGATTGACCGTCGGGAACTCAGATAAAGGTTGCCGGTCAATCAAATGAAACCACAAATTTTTTTTTTTTTAATCCTGTATCCAGTTAAAAGAAGTTGGGATATGCTAAAATAATATTTGCTTCATTTTTATTACATGAATGCAACAACTCCACAGCACAACAGTTCAACTTCTGTTCAGATTGTGTGTGATGATGTGGGTGGAAAATGAGGCATGCAATCACAAGGAGCTTTGCAGCTTGGCAGATGACATGATTAAGGAAGTATCACACTGAACAGGAATTGTAAAAATCTAGGGTGTGTAAATTTATTAACAGGTTTTTCGTGTTACCATTATCAGAATCTCTCAAATTGAGCAACAGAAGGAAGATGGGGGGTTAAAAAATAAAAATAAAAGGAAGAAGATTGAGATCGCTCTCTTTAAGTTACAAAAAGAATGCATGCTAACAGAAGTACGAGTGGACGACTAGCAGCTAAAGATCCATGCTCTGACCTTTGACAAGTTTTCTAATGCCAGAAAACTAACTAATAAAACCACCAGCTTAGCTCATCAAATTCTTGATTGCCTCCAACAGAATGCACCGCACAAAGAAAGTAGTGGGAAAATATAATGCTGAAAAGACTGAGGATGGACTGCCTGTTACGTTTTCTTCATGACATACCCCATGATTATGCCAAGCAAACCGATGAATACGACAAACATGAGTGATACACCACCACGGGTTTTGCTGCCCTCGCGCTTCAAGAGTTCCTAAATATTTGTAAGATCATCATGTCAGTAGTTTCCAAGATAAAACAAAAACAAAAAAAAAAAAAAAAAAAAAAAAAGCATATTGAAAGCACAGAAATAATTGGGGCAGCAGACACTATCCAAAATTTTTATTGTATTTCAGGAATACATAGGAGAGAGTCTAGGAAAACAAGATAATGAAATGGTAAACATCTCTTCTAATTCAGTAACAAAGGGGGAAAGAAGAAGCAGGCTGAAGTCATCAAATGTAGAGGGAACAAAAAGTAAAAGAGAAGAAAGAAACCTAGTTCAAATGGTTAGTTCTACATCATTAGCAATTGGCATCCTACCTAGGTTTGGCCATAGACCATCTACTTGAAGGGAACCATCTTGTAGCTATACTTGTATACTTCACATGTTTCCTCCTTATTTTCATGTAACCATGCCATCCCACTCCCAATGTTTTACCCTTTGGTCCCTTTCACATATGTTTCATTTAATATATATATATATATATATTTAATTTGTGAATCCATTAAACAGAAGATCAAAATGAACAATAATCTATTCATTTTCAAAACAATAAAAATAACAGATAAAGATGAAGTCAGCACTGAATTCCCTCACCAGTTCCTGCCGAAGCTTGTTGTTATGTTGAACTGCATTATTCTTTTCCTCAGTCAGCTTTGATATAAGAACTTTCGCCTGCAATTGAAGATGGTATTAGTGCAGTTATTATACTTGCAATGAGTTGACATGATATTCAAGGCACTTGCAACAACAACAGAGATCCAGCATCAAATGATGCAAAGGCTACCTATATGTGCCCATAAATGGAAAATGGAAAAGCAGAGAAAACCATAAAAAACTCACTGCCTGAAGCATTGTAATAAGGCAAAAGTGTACTGCACCTCATTATTATTGTATTTTGTATATCTCATTATGGAAAAGCAGAAAAAACCATAACTAACACCAATTATATCTCAAATGACTTGAATCTGCCATACCATATATATATCAACCAGTTACATGCTTGGAAAATTCACATTCACTTTCAAAACATTACCTCCATGGCTTAGTCAGATGGAAAATAAAAACTCCCCAATTTTGTTTCAATAACTGAAATTATCCCCAACCACGACAGATGACAAATCTACATAAATTGAAGTGAATCAGAAGTGCAAAGTTCATATGGACTTATACCTCAGCAGATTTGTCTAGAGGTTCAAGCCGAGCAGCTAATGCTCTTGTAGTCTGCTTTCAACAAAAGCAAGATATCAACACCTGCCTGAAAGAAAAAGAGCAGAAGACAAGCAATAAAGAAACAAGAACTCACAGTAGCAAAGTCAGAACCATTGCCATTCCCATTGTCTCTAGGCGGAGACCCATCTTCTGATTCTTCAGGAACAGGTGATGGTGGCTGAGGTGGAGAAACATAGAGCACTCTCAACTTGCACTCATCAACCACATTCCCTGATTCCTTATTGAACTGAAAAATGCAACAGCAATGATTATAGAGTCCACAACTTCAACCTCGAAAACTTCTCAAGTATCAATACAACACAATGAAATTACCATTTCTGCAGTAATATCCTTCGCGGTAGCGCCATCATGTGCTTTCACACTCTGAAGGAGAAACTTATCCTTGCATTGCATGTCAAGAGGAGCCTCCTTCTGTGCTTGCATGGTAACTAAACCAAGACCAAGGGTTAGAGAAATTAAAAGCTCTGAACAACAACCAAATAAAAAGAAAACTTTGTAATTGGCAAAAACAATTGATAAGAGTACCTATAACATCACATGTTGATCGAGGCAAGACAACCCCGGTGTTGGGACGAACACAATACTTCTTCGGATTTGTTGTTTTCACCTGAAGATAATGAAATACAGATTAAAAAAAAAAAAAAAACCCCAACAACGTAAAAATCCAAATCAACATTTCCATCAGTCAGTTCGGTTGTTGCTGCTTAGTTTTTAGCTTACAGAAAATCTCATCCGAATCCACATTTCAATTTTCATATGAGAAAGCCGCAATTATTAACGACATTCACAATTTCTTATTTCTTCTCCTCTTCTCCCATATTTTCTCAGCAATCAAACAGAAAAAATTTACAGCATAGATCAAAGATCGTGAACATTGACAAGGGAAATTGATAGACGGTACCTTGAAAGCTATATAATTATCAGTTTTATTTGCCAATTGAAAAGAAGATGAGATCTGCTTCTTCAGCTCAACTAATCCAAGAAAAAAAAAAAAAAAGAATACATTAATTAATTAAAAATAAAATCAAAACGGAAAACGGAAGAACCCTAGAAACGGAACAAAACAGGAGGAGAGACAGAGGGAAGAAGAAGAAGAAGAAGAAAGAGAGGAGCAGATTGGGTGTGGGGGGAAAGTACTTACAGGGAAACTTGAGCTCTATAGGTTCGATGCTGAGAAGCTCTGCTGTGCTCATTTTCGAAAGGTTCAATCGCTTTCGGAAAAGCAAAAATGACGAAGATCTGCGGGCAGGAAGGAATCTGTTATCCTTGTTTGTCCTTTTTTTTTTTTTCAGAAAATACTAATATCTTTGTTTCATTTTTTTCAAAAACGAAGTTGGGCGGTGAGATGGAAAATTGGGGACCAAATTATAATTAATTAAATTAATTACTAATTAATAGCGTTGGGCTGTATTTTTATTGGTGTGGGGTGTACTTTGATTTTTTTTTTTTTTGGGGTATTTTTTAGAGAAAAAAATGTGTAATACAAGTCACAATTTGGGGGTAGGTTTTGGTTGGAATGAAGGAGAGAGGAATTCTTCTATTTCTCTCTTTTTTTATTTAAATAAAAAAAGAATTAAAAAAAGTAAAAGAGAAAAAAACTTTCCTCTTTTTATTTTTATTTTTTTGAGATTATCCTCTCTTTAATTATTTTAATAATTAAATAAAAAATTTTCTCTTCCCCCATTGCCTCGTAACTAAAGATAATCTTAAATTATTTATTAAAAGTAATGCATTAGATTCTAAAACTATAAAGTTTTTTTTTTTTTTTTATTAATGACTTATTGATTCAAGGGAAAGGAGTTTGATTCTTTAAAATAAAGTTTCAAAGTTAAATTTTATTGATAGAGAAACAAATGTTAAAAGAGATTCTCTCAAATGAGTTTCATTCGATTTTAAATTAATTAATATTTAATATAGTTATCAGATACTAAAATATTAATAATAATAATAATAAAAAAACCTTTGAAAGATTTATTGAAAAACAAATGAAAGTATATAAATTTTATCAGGTTTAGAAGAGTGGGCCCACGGATTGGCAGAGAATGGTCCCAAGCTCTAATAGACAAAGGTCCAGAAGGAGGGAGGGCCTTTTCAAGGGGCCCATTTGTTCAATCATTCTGAAGTCGGCAATTAATTTTGGGTTGGAGGTTCCCTATCGTTTTCGTTTCCTGGTTTCAGTGGTTTGGAGGACAAATAGGAATTGAAAATAAAAGAAAAATACATATCAATTTTATTTTTTTTAAAGTATTTTTTTAATTAAATTATTTTATTTAATTAAAATGTAATTAAATTTTTAAAAATTTATTTTATTAAATATTAATATATAAATTTAAATTTTAATTGAGTTTTTAAATTTTGAATTAAGATTTTAATTTTTAAATATAAATTAAAATGCAAATTTCTTTTTTTAAAATTGAGATTGATATATATTTATCTCTTAAAACTAATAAAAAAATTAAGTGGTCATAAATCTTTTTTAGTAAAAACAAAATATTTTATATTAGAGTCATACAACATATTAATAGATAGATAAAACAAAAAGAGGATGTTGCTTATTGTTTAAGATTAATAAAAATGGCAGTGGCACTATGTAAGGAATCAAAAGACTCCATGTAGGTGGACTTAAAAAGAAAATTGGGATATAACCATCTAAGGGCGATTATGACCATCAATTGAGTGCGGTTATGGTCATCAATTAAAGTATCAAGATTATTGCATTCCCCCATATAGTCACAGTGACGGTACATTTATCTAAAGTGAGAAATAGGTGGAACGTATTTCGATTTACAAGTCAAGTCTTAGACTCGACTTTCCTCAAACAGATACTAACATAATAAGTTATTTTTTCTTGTAAAAAAAAAGTATTAAGATAAATAAAATTGTGTTAAAAAATATTAATTTTTTTATTTATTGTAAATAATAGTTAATAATTAATAAAATAATTAATATTTATTACTTAATAAATTAAAATTAATTTATAAACTAATATTTTTAAACATCTCAACTACTTATTAAAAAAAAAAACTACATATATTAATTAAATTAAATACAAAGCTAGTGACTTCAATAATTTCATTAACCGTCATAATCATAATAATAACCACACTGTAGCATGTGAGACTTGGTCTTGGTGAGGATGGGCCAGGCAAATTTCGGAGAACATCTGCGCTGACGCGGTAGGTTTGGGTATTTTGGGCCGTCAGGTTAGGGTTGGTCTATTGAAAAGATTTCTCTATAAAGCCCACTTAAAGTGTTTTTAAATTATTTTTAATCTTTCAAATTCACCCTCTAATTAATTTTGACATAAATGAGGAGACTATTTTTTAAAAAATAATAACAAAAGAGTAAATAAGTTAATTTAATACCAAATATTATTATAATCAAGACTATTAAATATGTTTCTTAATACGTATGAAAAGGCTTTGAAACAGAGAAAGTGGTAAATGGTATTGAGGCTCAGGCCTCACGGGTTGATTTTTTTTTTTTTTAAGATATTTATGGTCAAGGGGAGTTTTTTTCTTTTTCTTTTTTTGTCGATGTTCTATGATCAACGGCAGTTGAATTCACATAATCTATTTCCCATCATTCTTCAAAGTCAAATTGATAATTAAATAAATCAAAGATTGATGAATCATGGGATTTTGGCTATGACTAAGCCGGAAAAACTTGATTAAATGGAAATATTAATAATAATACCAATCCTCTATGCAGTAACATTTATCCCAAAATACTCAATTTTTTCGCTCTCGGATAAGTGGCTTATCACCAATAATTTCTTTTTTATGAGTGGAAAAAATTTGATTTTTTTTTTAAATAAGGTTTGGAGTTCATGTTTAATAAATAAAGAAATAGGCATGGGGAGGATTTAATTAGAATCTAATGTAATTATTGAATATTTCAAAATTAATAACAAAAAAAGTGACTTAACAAATTAAAAATTTTATATTTAAATATTAAATTAAATGAAAAAATTTAGAAAAATATTATTTTTTATATATCTCATTATCAAATCTTGAAAAAAAAAAAAAAATCTTCACTTTTGGAGATTTGATGTTTATTTCAAGGGTCATAAATCAATTAGAATCCTCATCCAAGATATGGGTCGTTCCATGCCATCTTCCCATTCCTCCCTCCCTAATGGGATTCCCCGTTCCTCAAGTTCTGCTGTCGGAAATCGAAGGAGCAACTATAAGCCTGTGGAACTCCCACGTAGAAGAGTGAGGCCCACTCAAAGTGAACAACATCTTTTGATTCCCCGAAGCACACGGTTGGCGACAGCTAGCAGCGCACGCCTATCTTGAACACATTGTAAGTAAAGTAATCATAAGCACAGAATTGACGTCATGTCCTAACAAAATGGTTCGCGGCGGCGTCTTATTACTACTATATTTTTGCCACGTTTGTAAATTAGATGATGACGTGGCAGTCAAAGCTATGTGCCTCTGTGTGTGTGTCCTCCAGTCCACATCTGACGTGGTGGTTCGACATCGACCGTTTGATTTAGTTAGGTGAGATAAGATAAATACAAAGGTGTTGTCTTTTTTGCGAGATGGCTGTGGAACAGCTGGATAGCATTCTTGGCGGAGCTGACGGCTGACCTGAAGCAGCAGTAGAGCTGCAGCAATCACCTGACCTGATTTTGGGGGTGGCGCCAGGGAATCAGCCTAGGCACCTTTTGGAGTTTGGACAAAGGTGTACTAATATTGTTTTGGAAAATGATTTTTTATATAATTTTTTTATCTTATTTTTTTTATAATGTGATATTTTATTTAAATAATTAATTTTTTTAATTTATATAAAATTTATGATATTAAATATATATATTTATTTAATAATATGTAAAAATTATATAAAAAATAATATTAAAAAATTATTACTGTAGCATCATTTTTTTTTTAACATGAGAAGAAAAGTGTACTTAATAGCATTCAATAATTGTGACTTATTACTTAAACTATATATTTGAATGGATTTTTTATTTTTTTAATTGTATAATAAAAATTGACTTTTTTTAATTTAAATTTCATTTTAATTATATATTATTTTATTCATGTTTAAAATTTTATATATTTAATTATAATAAATTACTTAAAATATTTAGATTATTAAAAATGCTACTTTTTGAAAAAAAAGAAAAGAAAAGAAAAAAAGAAATCACTTTGCACCAATGAAATTCAAAGTAAAGAAACACCCAACTCCACATCTAAGTGTTGCTTACAATATTTTCCCTTAGTTCGTTGGGATACTTCAATAGATTTATGTTACAGGATGTTATCCACTCAGGATGAATCTCACAAATTTATGATAATTGAATTTATTACTTTCTTAATCAAATTATAAAACATGAGTATGGCTTTGAGAATTACACTCATAATTCATAACCCAGCTCTAAACAAAATAAACAACAAATTTGTACTGAGTTCTCAGAAATTTGTACAATTTTTGCCACTGCACTCCCCTTTTTGCTTTACACAGCCGCACCTCACAATTCTTGAAAACTAGACATTTATACATTATATACTATACATTATTAGGAGGTCCATAAAACAACAGACGAAGTGCAATTAATTAAAACCTTAATCCCGAAATTAAGTTTAATTTTGTTTCAAGCTTTCCCAAAGAGTGGAGCACTGCCTCCTTGCAAACCCGACTTTCCTCTTCTCCAAATCATACACCACCTCGAACCCTTGCTGCTGATAATTCCCCAGGGTAGCCCATGGTCCGCCACTCAGCTCCTTCTCATCACCACCGTTCATCAACATCAAGCACCCAACGTTCTTCTTCTCCTCCTCAACCCCATCACCGTCGTCCAAAAACTCGTAGAAGTAGTTCCTCCTAGGCAGCACCACGCTCGATCCATTCCCCGGAAAGTGCAACGCCATAACCGGTACTCTCACCACCTTGTCGTAGTAATAGCACGGACCCAACCCGGTTTTTTCCTCTATCTTCGTCGCCCGCTCGTAAAATCGCCTGACTCGGTGGTCGAACTCGGAAACCACCGAGTCGTATAAACTCGCCGGCAGCATCGTGAAGGTGGTCCCTGAATCCACCACCATTCCTCCACTGCCTTTCCCGTCAATCCTCTTCAACATCTCAGGGGCCGGGATTTTCCTTTTCCCGACGGAAATTCCTTCCAGTCCAACGGAATAGAAATAAGGGTGTTTCGGATTTTCGAGCATATCTGTATAGACAAACTTGATGTGTTCGTTTTGAAACTGCTTTTCCTTCTCCTCGTACCGTCCCAGGATGAGCGGACTCGGACGGCGAACTTTGTCGGAGTCGAACGAGTGGGCAACCAAACAATACGAGAATCTGCTTCCAAGTTGGGGAGAAACAGAGGCAAGCTGAGCAGGCAAAGAGAGGACGCCGCGACCAAACCCGGCTACTCCGACGGGCTCGGCCAATGTGGTATGAGCAGACCCAAAAGTGAAGTTCTGAATCGTGAGAGAATTGGGGAGGGTGAGAGAATCGCGGAAAAGGCGCGCAATCAGGCTGCCGTCACCGTATGCATAATAAAACGGAGGACAGGAGAAGGAGCGGCAATCAGAAGTCTCGATGTCGTCGAGGGGGCAGCGAGCAATGGCACAGAGGTCGGAGGTGGACTGGGAAGAGTGAGCAGCAGAGCAAGTTGAGGACTTGCAGTGGACAGGGGAAGCGGATGACGACAAATTTAGTGGAGCAGAGAGTGGTGGTTTATCCTCACAGAGGATGCATTCGAAAGGGGCACAGGGGAGCCAAACGAGATCGCTGCCCGTGTCAAGATAAAGGGACACAGTAGGCGAGGATGCAGAGCCGAGGCTGAATGAGAGGGTATAGTCGCTGCCAGGTGAAAGGGGAAGTGAAATCTGTTTATGGCGGTGCTGGTGGTTCTGGAAGCGGGCGGCGGAGCGGGAGGATGTGGCTTTCAACAGGTGATGGCCAGTGGTGAACTGGGTGGTGGAAAGGGAGTGTGTCAGAGGAAGAAGCACCATTTCTGCCATTGAGACGGTAGAAAACATACATGTAGATAACAACAACACGAAGCAGGGCAAGGACAGAGGCTTAGCCATGACTTCAAAATTGTAAAGAATAGTCTTTTTGCTTTCCTTCTTTTACATTAAGGGAGAAAAGATATGAATTCTGGTTGTTGGAGAGATGCGGGACGCGGGTTTATAAATGATAGAGGGGAAGGTCTGGATTAAGGGGTTTTAAGGGGATTTAGGGAAGCGTCATCTGTAAAAGGTGGACAATTATTTGAGTGGTTTCTTGTAAAGGTGGCTCTTAATTCGGGGGGCGGTACATTAGAAATAGTAGGCAATTGGGAAGGCAAAGTGACTTTGTCTGTTTTTAAAGTGGTTCAGGAGGAAATAATTATCCTTAATTATTGTTTTATTGGATAAGAAGATAGGCATGGAGTCAAAGCAGAGGTAGATAAATGGGTTAAAGAAATTACTAAACCCAAGTTGAAAGGTGAAAGCTAAGTTGAGGTGAAGCAACAACGTGTGTGGTGCTTTGCTGGAGTCAAACCCGGACAGCATTTAGTAGTGGACTCAAATTTTAGAGGGCCTTGTGGTTGACATCCAATTTGCCTCAGCAGTAACTAGCTTGCTTCAGCAGCATTGAATCCTAAACAACTTCGAAGGCTGAACCAAAGAAGGGGGAAAAAAAAAAAAATCCTAAACGACTTAGGAACAAGCACCTCTCTTAAAATGATCTTAAAAAAAAGCAAGAAAAACAGAGCATCAAAAGGTAGAAGAGATGAAAGAATCCAATAGAAGTTGAAAACGCAAGCACCAATCATCTTTTCCTGTTTTGGTGAGATCATCCACTGAGGAAACTGACACTGGGAAACAAGTGAAATATTTGCTCTCATGATTCTGTCAAGGGGTAAATCAAGCAACCCAGTTTAGAAAATTACCTTGGAACTATTATTGTCCTAGCCGAAGCAAGCATAGTGCGTGCCCGCTCCATTTCTTGTCTTTATGTAAGGGCATCTCATCAGCCCTTGAAACTGGTATCATGAGAAGTTTTATGTCATGACATTCTTTTTGCACAGTAGTATATATATATATTTGAGCAATTTGTAATTATTTACAAGGTTAATTGAGGGAGGGGGGAAAGAAGTTCCGTGAGGCTCGAACGTGCAACCCACGGAGGTGAACAATCCTAACCTAACCCAAGGTCTGATGCTACTGAGCCGGAGCGGGCCGTTCTTGCACAGTAGTATATTGTTAAAGAGTTGAATTTAATTATTCAACCTTGACAGGTTAATCTTTTTTAAAATTTAACAGTCCTTAATGTCTAGTTCTTGAGTTCATCAAATTAAATTGTTTTCAACTACAACAACAAACACATGGAGCATTAAGTTTACAAAGTTTTAAAAGGAATTGCGTTTCCAGATTTTGATTGTTGGATTTATTGTATTCTAATCCTAAAAACTGTGGAAAATAATACTAATAATATGCAAAGCATATGTAGTTGTCAAACTCAAACTGCTTCTTTTGTCGTCTTTTCCCCTTTAAATCACAATTTCCCTCTGGTTTCATAATACATCCTTCTTGGATAGCAGATCAGTGAAATTTTAACATGCGTGAGTCAATCGTTAATATGGGTTGTTTTTTTTCTTGGCTTGCTTCTTTTTTTATTCCTTAGGCCCTTTTCCGGAAACTTCTTTTGCCTTACTTGGGGTTTTTTTGTTGGAAAGTTTTTTTTAAAGGTTGGGCAAATGGACAGTATTAAGAGTTTTGTATTTTTCTTAAATTGTGTGAATTTATTAAGCTTTCTTAAGATGATTTCTATTCACCAAAACAGTTGGGATGATCTGTTTTCTACTTTGTTATACCTAAGAGAAGGTATATATACCTCTTTCAGTAGCCTGAGGTTTTGTCAAATTAATTACGTTTGCTGGAATGGAATTTAGTCTTAGGATGCTTTTTTTTTTTCAGCTAAAAGAATATGGGGCAGAAAATAGGCTGATGCGTTTTAAATTCAAGGCCTAGATTATGCGGTGGTCCAAGTTTGCAAAGTCAGACTCACATGCAATAATAAAACCTGCTAATTTATCATTCATCAATAATGGCCCAACAGAACAGATCAAGCTTTGGTCCCTTGAATGCTATGATATAGTGTTTGACCAACTAAGTTCTAAGCTAGCATACCAATGCCCATTCTCCAGAATCTAAAGTTGGACAACCATCTCCCTACCTTATCACCAGCTCCTAGACTTGTATTGAACCATGAAGAACACTTCAAAAAGGCTCTGCAAGCTCCATTAATCTCATTACACAAGATGCATGTGAGCCTATTGTGTCTGTGTACAATGGCATCAGTAGCATAGAAGAAGATAAACAATTATTCATGTTTATTACATCTCAGAATTTGAGTTGCCGTTTGAAAACCAGAGAGAGATTAAAAACTAGACAATTTGGTATATCAAACAAGGGAATGCGGGATTGTGATATGCTTTCACATAATGCACCTGAGACATCCAGCTTGTCATGGCTAGCTGGGGCAAATGTGGAGTGAAGCTTAACAAAAAAAATAAAAATAAAAACAAAAAACCTTGGTAGTGTTAACATCTAAACCACATCAGTCCAAGGATATCCATACAGAACCATAGATCATTAAGTGTGCCACCTGACATAGTGATACTGATGCAAACACTGATTATGCTAACAGAGTCTAGATCAAGGATGTTAATTTATAGAGTAAGGTAGAAGACAAGCACAAGCTGTATACCCAATTCTTATTACCCAATATGCATGTTACAAAGTTTAAGTAACCTTATTTGTAAAAGCAGTTTCATCTTGAATAACATCAATTAATCATCAGAAAACTTACAAACAACAGAAGGATTGATAATTATGAGAAAATAAAAGTTAATAGTGATTCGTGCACTCATACCTAAGAGGCATTTGTTGACAGTGGTTTTATCTTCTCCAACAACTTCTCAGCTTCAATAAACCCGCCTAATGGCCCCAAAGATATATATTTTATATGTTTCCATCTGTTCAAACTCTATGGATTAAACCAGGAATTTTTGAAACCTTGTTTGATTTTCAAGATAGAAAGTAAAACAAAATAAAAGCAGAAGCATAGACTACCAGCAAAATGACTACCTAGGTATGAAGGGTAGAGCAAAACAATGGAGGTGGAGATGGTTAACACTGTTAAATGGAGGTTGATGAAAGCCAAATCTGCCAAAAAGA